ATCCCCGAGAGCCCAGCGAGGATGTGTGCACATCACCATGGGCGTGGACGGCTCCGTGTACAAGCTGCACCCCATGTGTGAGCCGGCGCCCCCCGGCCCCGGCCCCGCGTGGTGCGCGTCCTCCGCGCAGAGCCCCAGCCCCGTCTCCGCCCAGGAAACACGAGGCGGGATGGACACTGTCCCAGCTCCCTTGCTGCTCATGGGTCCCAGGGTTCTCACCTCATCTTCCCCGCAGGTCCCAGGCAGGGGAGGGGCCCCTGGGCGCACGCAGGGCAGGTCCCTGGAGGGGGCAGGGTAGGCCGCGGGGTGGGGGGGCACAGGAGGCGGACCCTCAGCCGGCCTCCCCCGCGCAGCTTCAAGGAGCGGTTCCACGCCAGCGTGCGCAGGCTGACCCCCAGCTGCGAGATCACCTTCATCCAGTCGGAGGACGGCAGCGGCCGCGGCGCCGCCCTGGTCTCCGCCGTGGCCTGTAAGAAGGCGTACATGCTGGGTCAGTGACAGCGGCGGCCAGGCACGGAGGAGGCTCCGGGGGACAGACTCCCCCACAGGCGCCCCCAGCCTGGCCTGCCTCCCGACCAGCTGCCGCCTGGAGATGGGGAAGGCACGAAGGAGAAGCCTTGTGGGCAGGCCAGTCTTCCCGAGTCAGTGGGAGGGACAGCCTCGGGGCCCTGCCTGGGTTGGGGGCTCAAGGAGCAGAAATGGAGATGCCCACGTCTCCTGTCTTTCTGCTGGAATCAACCACCGGAGGAAGTGGCTCGCTCAGGACTTAGTTGGAGCTTCCGGCTTGGTTCAGCCTTGCCTGGGCCCCGCTCTGGGGAGGGGTGCCCTGTGGACCCTGCTGTGGCCTGGCTTCCCTGGGACTCCGCCCACATGGGGAGGCAGCCCAGGGACCTGGCCAGATCTCCGCCTGGCTCCACAGCGCAGGGCTGCTGACCACCCAGGCCTGGTGGGCTTCTCTGCCTGGAGACAGAGGAGAGGGGGGCAGGGACCAGCTCAGCGTGGAGACGGAGGCACCAGGAGGCCTGGGATGGCAGCCTCTTCCCGCCCACCTCGCCTCTCCTGAGGGCCTGTGCTTCTGGGATGGATGCTCACAGGAGGTGCAAGAGACCAGCCCCCACAGCCCCTGTCAAGGACCCAGGAAGAGGAGAACCGCCCCGAGGGGGCTGCCACACACCAGCCAGCAGCACCCAGCACAGCCTCCAAGGGACCACCAGCCTCTTCATGCCCAACATGGGACTGGGTGGTTTTTTTAATTAAAAGTTTTAAAAGTTTAGAGCATGGCCTTGTCCGCGTTCTTTAACTTCTGTGCATAAGGACTTGGGACAGTACAGGCGTGGTCACCTGTGTGCAGACACTGATTTGTTATTTCCTCCGGCCAGCAATGGGGGGACGGGGAGGGGGGCAGAACACGGAGCAAGAGACCCGGCTGTGGGAGCAGGACTGGTGCCATCTGGGTGGTGTCAGAGGTCCTCGATGTGCCCAGGCCCCACCTGCCTGTGGGATTTGGGGTGTGGATGCCCTGATCAAACCTCCGGGAGCCCCAGGAAGTGCCCAGGAGGAGGCAGGGCTGGTCTCTGGGGGCTGGTCCTGCCCCAGGTCGGCCTCAGCAGGGGGCCCCTCCGTCCCACACCTAAACCCACTTACACAGAAACACATTTGTATGATTTCCAGTGAGAGAAAGTCCCCAGCGAATCTGGGATGGCTTGCTTCACTCGGAGCTTAACTCGACGATGTGATGGTGAGCAGGGCGTGCCGGGCTGTCCTCTGTTCCCTGGGTCTCAGGTGCGCTGCTCCGGTGGCTAGTTCTCTGGCCTCTAAATTATGCACCAGCTCCTTGGAGCTCTGTTACTCCACTCCCCGTGCGGATGCTCTCCGTCCAGGTCCAGAGGCCACGCATCCGGTCCCCTTCAATAGGAATTACTGCCCAGCTGTCCGGAGGCTACAGTGCAGGGCATGGTATTGATTCTTCAAGTGCTCTGTGTGAATTCCGTTTTAGGGTGGGAAGACGGTGCCCTAAAATACTTCCTTGTTCTACAAAAGCGGTGAGGCCCTGCTCCACAGCCGCCGCCTGCAGGCCTCGCCCCATCCAGCAGGGGGCAGCAGGGCCACTCCTGCTCCAGGTCTGCTTGCCATGCTGTCTTTGTCCTGGCCCCTCACTCAGCAGTTGAGCTGGCATCAGGGGCTCATGACCCACTTTCATGGGGGGTGGGGGAGGGCGGCAAGTGACTGTTTGGGGTCCAGGCCCTGTTCCGAAAGCCTCACAGGCAGCTTCTGTTTGGGGTCACAGCCAGCTCAGGGCCGCCTGCTGCCTCTGGGTTGGCCGGAGGCCGGGCCAAGCTTCTGCACCAAGGCCTCTGGGAGTCCCTGGGGGTCCCGGCCAGAGACCACCACTGCCCTCCAGGCCCAGGCCCCCAGGCAGCCCTCCCCCTCCCCCCACTGTCCTCTTGGACTGGGCAGGTCTGGGCTGGACTGCAGGAGGGACAGTCAGATGGAGGTGACAGGGGCCCATCACTCAGCACCGTGAGTGGTGACAGCCAAGAGCCTGCTCTGCTCTCTGCTCTCAGGAGGTGAGCCCACGCCTCCCGGATGGTGGACACCCGGGTGTTACATGTCAGGGGCCTGAGGGTCACTGGAATGCGGCTGGAATCTGGGGCCCTGTCCTCCCCGAGCCCAGGCAGGGGCTGCCAAGTTTGGGTCTGTCCTCTCCTCCTCTCCTTATTTGGTGCTGCAGGTGATAAGGCTGAGACATAAGGGAGGCTGCGGGCCCCTCGGCCACCAGGCTGCCACTGAGAGAGGATGGTGAGGGCCAGGGTGGGGCAAGGGCAGTGGCCCCCTGGGGCTGTCCTTGGGGTGGGAGAGCAGGGCAGCGGCTTCTGTGCCTCCAGGGGTGGGGAGAGGACCCTGACCCCAGCTCTCCTGGGAAGGCTCTGGGGTGTGCATGGGGCATCTTGGGGGAGCCCTGGAGAGGACCCCTCCCCACCCACAATGTTGCAGGCCAGCAGGAAGGCGGGGACCCGGGGCAAGGCCGCGGCCACCAAGCAGGCCCAACGGGGCTCTTCCAACGTCTTTTCTATGTTCGAGCAGGCCCAGATCCAGGAGTTCAAGGAGGTGAGTGCCCCGCCCCAGCACCTGCCCCTGCACCCCTTCCCTGGAGGTGGTCCTGGCCCCTGGCCCTGCTCTTCCCACACCCAGCACTCCCTCCCTGCCTCCCTCCCTGGGGTGGGGGCTGCTCCCAACTGGAGACTGTGGCCCCCACCCCAGGCCTTCAGCTGCATTGACCAGAACCGTGACGGCATCATCTGCAAGTCGGACCTTCGGGAGACCTATTCCCAGCTGGGTGAGCACACCCCCTCCCACCCATGAGCCCCCTGCTCACTCTGGGAGCCCGCAGAGGGGGGACAGGCCTCCTCCTCCCTGCACTCCCCACCTCCCCCACCCCAGCTGCCTCTGGCTCTCCACCTCTGGCTGGAAGGAGGGGAGGGCAGCCGAGCCCTGCCTGGGACACCTCTGCCCCCCACCCCAGGGAAGGTGAGTGTCCCGGATGAGGAGCTGGATGCCATGCTGCAGGAGGGGAAGGGCCCCATCAACTTCACCGTCTTCCTCACGCTCTTCGGAGAGAAGCTCAATGGTGAGCAGCGCAGGTCGGGATCCCCCGGGGGGCAGTGAGCTTGAACGCCCCCCCCCCCGCATCCCGCCTGGACCCCACCCAGACCCAATGTGTCTTCAGTCTCTGCTCCCAAATCCCCATCTCCCTCCAGACCTGTCCACCTTAGGACTTCCCTCTTGGCCTATCTGGGCCTCAGGGACACTGTAACCGGAGACACCTTTCCACCTCTTCTGGGGTGTGGAGGGCTCCCTGCACCCTGGGTTCCTCCTGGGTGAACCTGGAGGCTGGGCCACGGGTGCTCACCCGGCCCCTCGGCCTCCCAGGAACAGACCCCGAGGAAGCCATCCTGAGCGCCTTCCGAATGTTCGACCCCAGTGGCAAGGGCGTGGTGAACAAGGACGAGTAAGTGGGAGCCGGCCAGGCTGTGGGGAGGCCCCTGGAGGGGGACCGCCCTTAATGGAGCCCTCTCTGCTCTCTGGACCACGGGGGCCTTCATCCCTGACCCGTGCGGCCACCCCCAGGTTCAAGCAGCTGCTCCTGACCCAGGCAGACAAGTTCTCTCAGGCCGAGGTGAGGACGCCGGCTCCTTCGTGGGGATCACCCCAGGGGCACTGGGGAGCCTCAGGGGCGCCTGGCTCCTGCCTTGGAGCCCAGCTCTCCAGAGGAGATGCCATCCCTGTGGAGACCCGGAGGGTGAAGATTGTGTAGTCCACAGGGAGAGGGTGTGCAGGGGGCTGGGCGGGGGGGCAGGGGCACCTGCAGTGTCTGGAGGAGGGCTCACTGGGGGTGAAGGTGGCACAGAGAGGGGTGTCTGGGGCCAGAGGGGGCTATTTGACCCATGGCCCCTTAGGGGCCCACCCTCTCCCCAGGCTGCCCAAAGTCAGACAACAGGAAATGTTACCTCAGAGTTTTGGTTTGGGCCTGCGAAGGCGGAGGACCAAGGCATACCCTCCTCCCTGGCCGGCTGCCTCTCACTGCCCCCCTCTCAGGTGGAGCAGATGTTCGCCCTGACGCCCGTGGACCTGGCTGGGGACATCGACTACAAGTCCCTGTGCTACATCATCACCCACGGGGACGAGAAAGAGGAGTGACGGAGGCTGCAGGGAGACTCGGGGCCACGCTCTGGCACCTCAATAAACGCCATTTCCCAGGAGCCCCGTGTGGTGGCCTCTCTGTGATAGGGGTGTGTGTGTGTGTGTGTGTGTGTGTGTGCGTGTGTGTGTGTGTGTGTGTGTGTGTGAGTGTGTGTGAGCGTGCGGGAGTGTGTGTGTGTGTGTGTGTGAGCGTGCGGGAGTGTGTGTGTGTGTGTGAGTGTGTGTGTGTGTGTGTGTGTGTGAGTGTGTGTGAGCGTGCGGGAGGGGGAGGGAGGGACGCTGAGGGCCGGATGCAGGGACCACCAGCCCCTCAGTTCTTCCCACACTGCCCAGTTTACAGATGGGGACACTGAGGCCTGAGAGGGTGGGCATCCTGCCAGAGGCCAGCCGCTAGGACGGGTGGGGCGCGTCACCCTGCAGGCTGTGGAAGGCCCACGAAACCACCTGGTCTGGCTCTGCCAAGGCCTTGGGGTGCGTTAATTAAATGTTTGACCAAAAGGAGCCGCCTAATTTTTAAGTGGGTAATTCTGTGTGGCCCTCGAATGATGGTATAGACATCCACATGGCCCTTGGCAGAGAAAAGGCTCCCCTCCCCTGCCCTGGGCCCTGAGCCCACCGGCGCTCAGAAGTTCCGCCCGCTCTGCCCTCCGGGGACACGGAGCACACAGCCGGGACATCTCTGCACACGCGTGGGGGGTGCTGGGCCGCGTGGAAGGCCCTGAGGAGCCCATTTGAAAACACACCAGACTTGACTTGGACGTGCAGGTGCGGAGCCATGACCCGAGGAGGGGCTCGGGGACCCGCAGGGGAAATGCTGGGGCCCGGCTGCAGGCTCAGGGTTCAGGCTCAGGTGGCTGCGGAGGGAGGGGCTTTCCACAGAGGCCGGCAGTGTCCCACCGCCCACCTCACCTCACCACGGGGGCTGGACGGGGACGTGTCCCATCCGGGTGCTGGAGAGCAGGGACCTCCCGAGGGCCCACGGGGGAGGGGAGAGGAGAATGGGGGAGTGGGGGGCCTGGCCAGAGTGGGCACCGAGTCCTGGTGTGGACAAGGACAGCTGAGCCGGCCTCCGCCCCCCAAGACCCCCTCCCCCCGCAGGGCCGACCTCACCCCCGTCCGGGAGGGAAGCGTTTTTGTGGGGAGAGGTGCTCAGTTCTTGTTGTTTTCCCCTCTCATCCCATTTATTAAAGAAACAGTAAGAAAAGAGACAACGCAGGGACACACCCACCGTCCTTTCACACCAGGTTGAACAGAGCACATGATCTCTTCCCCTCAACCCCCACCCCCTTCCTCTCCACACCAGTTTAATTGTTGGGGCTCTCTGGGAGTACGAGGGAGTCGGATAACAGTGGAGCCTTGACCCTGGCCTCCTGGAGAAGGAAGCTGCAGGACCTGCCAGTCGGGTGGACGTTGTAGTTGGATCTTTAAAGTGGCTGCCCGAGAGGTGCTCAGTTTAGAGCTTTATCTGGGACTTGGTCATGTTAGTTACTACACTGACACTGAGGGTGGCAGTTATCTGACTATTGCTCATCAGTGACCATAAAAGTCTTGGTCCAGAGACCCCCCCCACTCCCTTAGGGCCCCTGAGCAGGTGCCCCGGCCTGTGGCCCTCCCTGGGACTGTGTCCAGGTGCCCGCCCCAGCTCCTGTGGGCTCTTGGCCCCTGCCTCCTCCTCCGCAGGGGCTCACATTCAGTCCGAGGGCTTGCAGAGGACCCCCGTCCGTCCCAGCTCCACCCCAAACCCTGCTGCCCACCCCACCCCCTGCAGACCCGGATGCAGAGGCCGGGGTCCCCAGCGGCAGCACAGCCTCACTCGGGGCTGCTGGACACGCAGAAGCTCGAGGCCCAGGAAACAGGCCTGCTGTGCCGCCAGAGGTGAGAACTAGGAAGAGGCTAGCACTCCTGGTGCAGAGAGGGAAGCCCGTTTCTGGGGCATTTCCCTCAGGAAACTTGTAATCCCAGGATCTTTCTGTGTAAAACTGTCTAAAAGCTCAACAAGCCTCTTGCAAGTTTTCCAGCCCAAGACAGCTCCCAGGGGCCGGGCCATGGCTCTGAAAGGTCACGCCCAGCTCCCAGCTTCTGGGAGGCAGGAGCCTGACTCAGGCCCGAGCCCGCTTCCAGGGGCAAAGGTGTGAGAAGAGGTTTTCCTCTCGGTTAAGGCGATGAGCCAGCCCAGGGGAGAGGACAGGAGCAGGCAGTCTGTGGGGAGTCTGCAGGACCAGGCCCGGTTGGTTCTCCTGAGAACGTGATGGAGGTGGCTGACTCCTCCCCGGCTTTGAGGAGCACCGTCCAGCTGAATGCTCATTAACAAGAAATCTGTTTTCTTTCCGTGTCGATTAGCTTCCCAGCAAGGCCTAAAGCTCCCTCCCGCTGAGCCCCAGCCGCACCCCAGGGGACGGGCTCAGGGGCCTCAGTCAGTGAGTGTCCGGCCCCCGTTTGTGGTATTTTCAGATTTTATCCCGAAACCCCTCAGCCCCCAGCCAGGGCCCCAGTCCCTGCCCTGCCCCCACCCCACCTCTGGCAGGGTGCACCTTCTCTAGACGTGTTAACTCCACTGACAAAGGTGAAGACGGGCTCTTAGCTGCATCCTCCTCCTGGCGGCTGTCCTGTTCCCACACCCCACCCCACCCACCCACCCACGCGCCCCACACAGCTCACCCTGAGTGCAGACTGGCTCCCACACGGGCTAAGGCCAAATCCCCCAGTTTGGGTGGGAGGGCCCCAGAGATGGCAGTGCAGGCACTTGGCTGGATTTTACTCAGCAGCAATGCAGGAGAGACTGGTAAGTAATGGGTCAAACCCACTCCCCTGCCTTTGCTGGGAGCCTTGCAGACACTTCTGGTCGCTCTGGTCAGAGGACGGGGTGTGGAGATGCAGACGGCATGAGCTGGGGGAGGCCCTCAGAGACGTGGAGCTGCCTGGGGGTCAGACCACTCACTGTCCGTCAGTGAGCTTGAAGGATGCCAGCTTCCTCTCGGCGACTCGGCTTCCTCCTCGTGAAGGGGAAGCTGGGCTGGATGTTGACAGCAGCTGGGTCTCCCTGAGCCTCCAGGTGTGGTGTGGAGCCGCCCACCTGACAGGTACTCCCCACCCGGCCCAGAGTCCCCCCTGGACACTGACTTAGCTCAGGACCAGGCACAGCCACAGGCAGGGCTGCCACAGCACTTGGTTCATTTTTTCTGACTAAATGTGCAGATGAGGGACCTTCGGGTAGATGGGGTGCAGATGAGGGACCGTTGGATAGATGGGGTACAGATGAGGGACCTTCGGGTAGATGGGGTACAGATGAGGGACCTTCGGGTAGATGGGGTGCAGATGAGGGACCTTCGGGTAGATGGGGTACAGATGAGGGACCTTCGGGTAGATGGGGTGCAGATGAGGGACCTTCGGGTAGATGGGGTGCAGCTGGAAGACTTTCGCCCACCCTGAGGTGGCAAAGCCCCTGGAGCCACAGCCGTGGGTGCACCACCCGGAGTGGGGAGGGGAAACCTTGGCGCAGGAGGGGTGCTGTGTCCCGTAGAACAGAGCAGCCTAGTGAGTGATGAGGGGTGTCAGGAATCTAGACTCCTGCCCCCCAGGAGCCAGCACAGAGGCAAGGGCAGGAGGGGTGGCTGCAGCCTTGGGGACGGACTCCCTCTGCCGGCTGCCCTCCCATCTGCCCCCTCCCTCCCCACCACCTTTGTCTTTCAGTGCCTCTCTGCACCCCAGGAGCTGAAACAGCCCTGACCTCCCAGCGGCCCCCTGCTGTCTGTGGAGCATCCCCACAGGGACAGGCTGACGACGCGAGAGCCACTTGGCTCCAAAATAGAACCTTATCAGCCCTGCCTGCCTGCTCTGGCGTCAGCAACACCCACTCTCCTTCTCCCGGGACCCGCCAAGCATCCTGCTCCCCCCTTCTCAACGGTCACAGCCACCCCCGTCCGGATCCCCCTCCCCAAAACACCCACAGGGTCAAGCAGTGGCAGCCTTGAGAGGTGGGGCCCCTGCCTGGGGCCACAGGTGACTGACTGCACGGGGTGGTCACTGCTCCCAGAGGGACACAGCACAGGCGGCAGGTCTGTGGGGACGAGGCACTGGCCCAAGACCAAGGGCCAGCCAGGGGGAGGGCCAGACCTCCTGGCCGTGTTCCTTCAGGGCTGTATCTTTGTAAAATGGTAACTCTTACACTATATATACTTTTACCACAATAAAACGTTTAAAAAATAAAACATCGCGGAAGACCCACCAGCCCTTGCACCTATTTTGAGGGGTGCACTGGGAGCCTTGCCCCCTGTACGTACCTACATGTTTCATTTAAGAACATCGTTGGTCTCGAGTTCAGAAAACCCAACGGGGAGAGAGCAAATGGGGTTCACTTTTTTGCTATGAAATAAGAAGTCAGCGGTTGCTGGGCTTGGTCTGGCTGCATCCCATGTTCCAGGACACGGCAGAGATACGGTGGAGGGGCAGCCAGCTGCACCCTCCCTTTGACCACACACGCCTACTTCTCAGAAGTCCAGACCCCGGCCCTGCCAGATGCTCCAAAGTCTCTGCCAGATCTGATCTCACACCACACATGGCGGCCAGGAGACTGGCAAAGGCAGCGCTCGGGCCTTCCATCCCTGCCCCCAGCAAGGAGAGGGGGTGAGGGGAGGCGTGGTGTAGCCCCCAGCGGTGGGGCACCACTGTTCGGTCCCTGCCCACCCCCCACCCCACCCCCAGCACCCTCCTGTGGCGTGTGCCCAACACAGGCCACGTGCAGTTTCCGGGAGGGGCTGCTCAGCTCCGTGTCAGCCCGGCCTGCTTCCTGGCTGTGCCACGTGCACCATGAATCATTCTGTAAAACAGCAATGGTCACAGTACCTGCCTCGCTGGGCTACGGGAAGATCCAATGACATCATGCTCTTAAGACACTTAGCACACTGCCTGCTCCCCTAAAAATACTCATTCATTCAAAAATACCAGCTCCCCTGGGACCCTCCCACATGCCCCCGAAGGGCAGGCTCATTCAGTCTGCAGGGCAGCTTGGCAGACGCCTTGTGAAGTGTCACGGAGAGAGCGGTGGT